CTATTAGTTTAATTCCTTAATCTTTTCTTGCAAAGAGTCCAAAGAAATGGTTTAACAAAAGGAGAAAATGAGTAAGACAAGAGCTTTTCTGATATCTAAAGAAAACAACTCAGGTGAGATGCGCTTTCTCAAAACACAAAAAGCAACCAAAATAGTAATAAAAACTAGACTACATCAAAACTAAAAGCTTTTGTACTGAAAATGATACCACCAAGAAACCATAAACCACAGAACCAGAAACAGTATTTGCAAATCATATATCTAATAAGGGACTTGCATGCAGAATATGTAAAGAACTCTTACAACTCAATAATAAAAAGACAAATAAACCAATTTTAAAACAGACAAAGAATTTGAATAGACATGTCTCCAAAAAAGACAGAAGAGGCTGAGTGCAGTGGCTCATGCCTACAGTCCCAGCACTTTTGGGAGGACCAGGCGAGAGGATTGCCAGAGTTCAAGAGTCCGAAGCCAGCCTGGGCAACATAGTGGAACCTCCTCTCTACAAGACCAGCCTGGGCAACATAGTGAGAACTTGCCTCTACAATAAATCAAAAAATTAGCCAGGGCGTGGTTGCACATGCCTACAGTTCCTACTTGGAAGGCTGAGGCAGAAGGATCACCTGAGCCCAGTAAGCCAAGGCTGCAGTGGCCATGATTGTGCTACTGCACTACAGCCTGGGCAACAGAATGAGACTCTGACTCAAAAAAAAGGAGAAAAAGGATAAGCCGGGCATGGTAGCAAGCACCTGTAGTTCCAGCTACTTACTTGGAAGGCTGAGGCAGAAGGATCGGAAGGATCGCCTGAGCCCAGCAAGTCGAGCCTGTGGTGGCTATGAGCATGCCACAGCACTCCACCTAGTGATAGAGTGAGACTTCAACTCAAAAAGAAAAAAAAAGACACACAAAAAAAAGACTGATGAATGGTCACTGAGTACATGAAAGGATGCCTAACACTATTAGCCATTAAAGAAATGCAAATTAAAACCACTATGAGACATCACCTAACACCCATAGCATGGGAGTGAGAAAAAAGACAAACGATAATAAATATAAGGATGTGGAGAAGCCAGGCTCGGTGGCTCAGCCTGCAATCCCAGAGCTTTGGGAGGCTGAGGTGAGTGGACTGTCTGAGCCCGCGGGTTCGAGATATACCTGGGCAACTTGGCGAGACTTCATCTCTACAATAAATCAAAAATTAGCCGGGCAAGGTAGCGCGTGCCTGTAGTTCCAGCTACTTGGAAGGCTGAGGCGGAAGGATCACCGTAGCCCAGCAGGTCGAGGCTGCAGTGGCCGGGAGCGAGCCACTGCACTCCAGTCTGGGTGACAGAGTGAGACACCAACTCAAAAAAAAAAAAAAGGATGTGGAGAAATTGGAACCCACATACACTGCTTGTGAGTATGTAAAACCCAGCATAGCCATTTTGGAAAGCAACCTGATAGTTCCTCAAAATGTTAAACACTGGTTTGGTGGCATACCCCTGTCAAGTCATCCCAAATACTCCAAAGGTTCAGGCAGGAGGATCGCTTGAGCCCAAGAGCTCAAATCCAGCCTGTGCTGTCTCAAAAAAAAAAAGGCCAGGCATGGTGGCTCAGCCTGTAATTCCAGCACTTTGGGAGGCTAAAGTGAGAGGATTGCCTGAGCCCACGGGGTCGAGACCAACTTGGGCAACTTGGTGAGACCTCGTCTCTACAATAAATCACAAAAACTAGCCAGAAATGGTGGCGTGCATCTGTAGTTTCAGCTACTTGGAAGGCTGAGGCAGAAGGATCGCCTAAGCCCAGCAGGTCAAGGCTGCGATGGCCAGGAGCGTGCCCCTGCACTCCAGTCTGGGCGACAAGAGTGAGACTCCAACTCAAAAAAAAACAAAAAAAAAAATTAAACAGTTACTGCATAACCAGCAATCTCACTCCTGGGTATTGCCCAAGAAAAACGAACACAAATGCCCCCACAAAAACCTGTACACAAATGCTTATAGTAGCATTATTCATAAAAGCCAAAAAGTAGAAACAACCCAAATATCCATCAATTGATATATATATACACACATTTTTTTTTGAGTCAGAGTCTCACTCTGTCACCAAGGCTAAAGTGCAGTGGCATACTCACAGTCTCGATCTGCTGGGCTCAGGAAATCCTTTCACCTCAGCCTTCCAAGTACCTGGGACCACAGATAAAAGTCACCACACCTGGCTAATTTTCTGATTTATTAAGAGACCAGGTCTCACCAAGTTGCCCAGGCTGGTCTCTAACCCCTGGTCTCAGGCAATCCTCTCGCCTCTGTGTTGGGATTACAGGCATGCGCCACTATGCCCAGATCAACTGATATATATGTAAAATGTGGTAGATACACACAATGGATAGTGTTCCAACAATTAAAAGAAACGAAACCAGACACCAAGCACGTGAAAAGATGCTCAGCTCATTAGCCATTAGGAAATGCAAATTAAAACCACAAAGAAGCCGGGCTGGGTGGCTCAGCCTGTAATCCCGCGCCTTTGGGAGGTTGAGGTGAGTGGATTGCCTGAGCCCACGGGTTCGAGACTCATCTCTACAGTAAATCAAAAAATTAGCTGGGCGTGGTAGCACGCGCCTGTAATTCCGGCTACTGGGAAGGCTGAGGCGGAAGGATCGCCAGAGCCCAGCAGGCGAGGCTGCGGTGGCCGGGAGCGGCCCCTGCACGCCAGTTTGGGCGACAGAGTGAGACTCCAACTCAAAAAAAAAAAAAAAAAAAAAAACCACAAAGATATATCACCTCATACCCACTAGGATGGCCTAATCAGGGAAAAAAAAAAAAAACAACCAGAAAATACTAAGTGTTGATGACCACGAAGAAAAGCACGAACCCTCATTCATCGCTGGTGGGGATGTAAAATGGTACAGCTGTTGTGGACAAGTTTGGCGGTCCAGTAAGTTAAACACAGAATTACCCTATGACCCAGTAATTCCACTGCCAGGAATAAAACTAAAAAAACTGAAAACAACGTTCAAAAACAAAACCTTGTATGCAAATGTTCAGAGAAGTACAATTCACAACCACCAAAGGGTGGAAATAACCAAAATGCCCAACAACTGATGAATGCATAAGCACAGCACATCCGTACACTGGAATATTGTTCGGCCATAAGAAATAAAGTGCAGACACTTGCCACAGCATAAATGACCTCGGAAACATTACGCTAAGTGAAAGTCAGACACAAAGAGCCACATATTCTACTATCTCTTGTATATGAAATCCCAGAATAGAGAAATACATAGAGACAGAAAGCAGAACAGCAGTACCCATGGGTTAGGAGAGGGGTAAAATCAGAAGTGACTGACTAATGTGCGTTGAGTTTCCTTTTAGGATGATGAGAAAGGTCTGGAACTAGACAGTGAGGATGGTTGTACAACACTGCAAATGTACTTAAAGTCAATAAATCATATCCTTTAAAATGATAAATATTGTTATATACTTTTTACTGCGATTTGAAAAAATGAAGTAGTGATCCATGCTACAGCAAGAAGCCAGTCACAAAAGTACACGACTGTATGATTCCATTCATTTAAAATGTCCAGAATAGACAAAGAGACAGAAAGATCAGTGGTACACGCAGATGCCAAGATAGGAGAAATTTTTTAAAAGAATGACAGCAACAAAAGAAATTAGATCAGTGGATATTTGGAGCTTGGGGTTGGGGGAGAACAAGGAAGGACTGAGTGCTGATCTAATGGTTACAGGGTTTCTTTTGGGGAGGGCAAAAATGTTCTAGAATCAGATTTTGGTAATAGTTGAATGACTCTTTGAATATACTAAAAAACAATGATTTGTACACTTTAAATGGGTGAGTATGCAAACTATATCACAATAAAGCTTCTTTAAAAAGAGCTTGAATATAAATCTTGCAACTGCAGCTTAAAACTCACCTTCTCTATGACACTCCCTTCATCACTACTCCTTCACTTCCGTTAAAATCAGAATCATTACAGTGAACAGTTTACATTTTTTGGAACTCTGGAACCTAACTATGCTGAGAAACTAACTGAAGCGTAATAATTTCTATTATACAGACTTCTGTCATTCCAGTGCTTACTGTTTGGAGTCAGACGCCCAGAACTTGGAATTAGCTCCCTAACTTGTTTCACGTCTCAGACTAGACTTTAAGCTCCAAAGCCGGAGACCATGACTTCCATTCCTTCTGGATCCCCCAGAGGAATGTAAAATCTCCAGAAACCATTTACGAAATAAATGCCTGCTGAAAGAAAGCTACTGAGCATGCCCGGCTTGGCCAAGACAATTCAACAACATTCCAGAACAAAAACTATAGTTCCCGCGTTACAAGGTGGGAGAGGGGAAGAAACAGGCACAAAGCCTAAGGATTCCATCTAAAAGAGAGGATAAAGGACAGGCAAGGCTCAAGGACCAAGCAGAAGTGAAGGACAGCACTTTCACAACTCGAACTTAGAACTCTGCAAGGTCGAGTCAAAACGACCAAAAAAAAAAAATAAAAAAATAAAAAGCTAAAAGATACTAGATTAAAGAGTGAGGGAAGATTAACTAGGGATGCAAAGTACCGATGACGTAGGCTAACCACAGGTTTGTCTAAAACTGTCCTCTCCAAAAATATTACTAAGATGATCAGACCTTTGGCGTCAACACTAACATAAGACACACTGATGGAACTCACTTCCGAGAAGTTCCTTTTTACAAACGACAAGGACGAGCTGCAACCAACATACACCAACAATCAAGGCGTGCTAATCTCTCGGCTCCTGCCTTCATCTCCACCGCCATCTTCTGGAAGGGAATCCAAAACCCTCTCTACAGGGCTTCCACCAGCATCACCTCCGCGCAGAGCCCGCGAAGGCTGCGTTTCCCAGGTCGCGCGGACCGCGGAAGGGAGGACCCTCCCCCTCGCTCTTCAAGTGCACGCAACGGGCTGCTGTCTTCCTTCCCCCACCCTGCCCAGCTCTCCAAGATCCGGCACGGGACCCGCGAGCCCCGGTGCGCGGGCCTCACCTGCACACGCCGCGGATGCAGGGCTCCAGCCAGATGCGGTAGGCAGTCTCGATGTGCTCCTGCGACACTTCCTCGGGCCGCACCGTCTCCGCCCAGCGCCAGGCCGCCTTCTCCAGCTGCAGCCGCGGGGCCATGGCCTTGGCCCGAGGAGCGCCTCCCGAGCCAGGCCGCCGCCGCCACCACCGCCGTCGGCGCCGCCGCCCAA